CCAACCCCCCCCGCCCCTAAACCCACGAGGCAGGCGAGCAGCATGGCACAGCACGGGTCCCCAAGGCAGCCACACACAGCATGTCTCCATATCGCACCCACCGGGTTTTATACGCTGCTTCGGCTTCCCAAATCCCTCAGCTCACAGGCTCGAAAGCCATAAAACAGCCAGGGAGGGGGAAACAAAGCGGGGTTTCCTTCATGAAGAAGGGAGTGTGGGAGGAGAGGGGAGAGACACTTTCTCTCTGTGTCCCAGCAGGGCAAGCCTGTGGGTGGGAGAGGCAACGGGAGGGGAGGTCAGGGGCTGACAATGGGCACACAGCGGCACAGTGACAGGGATGTGACCCAAGGCGGGGTGCTGGTCCTGGGAAGTGTTTCCCATGGGGGGAGCCTGCTGTGGGGCAGCAAGGGGGGCTGAGGGGTGGGGGGCGTGCGCAGGAGGAGGCAGAGGGGGTGAGTGGCCCCGGGCTCTAATCATCCTTGTCCTTGGCCCCGTGCTTCAGGATGCGGGTGAACTCCACATAGTTGAAGTTGCCCTTCTTGTCGATGGGCGCCTCCCGGTACATCTCATCCACCTCCTCGTCAGTGAACCTGTCTCCCATGGTAGTCAGCAGCTCCCGCAGATGGTCCTCATGAATGAAGCCTGCAGGGACGGCAAGGGGTGGCATTAGCAGGGGACACTGTGGGACCCTCCCACCTCTCCCAAAGGCACCCCTGCCCAGCTCTCCCACTCTGGAGCTGCCAGGGGACTGTCCCCAAGGATTTGGCCCCAGCCCTCATCCTGGCCACATGCCCAAGGGGCAAAGTGCCCAGGCAGTGGTGTGGGGCTGTGCGGGCAGTGCCCGTACCTGACGCCTCCTCGTCAAAGCAGGCGAAGGCATTGCGGATGACATCCTCCGGATCAGTGCCGTTCAGCTTCTCCCCAAACATGGTGAGGAACATGGTGAAGTTGATGGGCCCAGGTGCCTCGCTCATCATTCCCTCCAGGTACTCGTCGGTGGGGTTCTTCCCTGCCGGTGGTAGGCAGGGGTGTGGGTGTGGGTGCGGGGCCGTGTTCCTCCCCCCAGCACCCATCCCCAAGGCCACCCCATAAACAAGGGAAGGGGGTTTCCGCAGTGCCCCATGCTCCTCCCTCGGCATCTCTCCCCATGCTTTAATCTGGGGCCAGAGGCCACCTGGAACCAAGCTCTGCCAGGCTCAGCCTTGGGGGAGATGTGGGAATTCATCTGGAAGCTACCAGGACCTAAGCCCACTGTTTTTTTCCCCATTCCCCTGGCGGCTGACACCCAGCACCACCCGAGGAGAGAGGCAGAGATGCCCCCACAGAGCCTCCTGCTGCTGCTGGCCCTAGCACCGCTCCTACCATGGCTGCACCAGGGATGGTTTACCCTCCGCTGCTGAGGTCTGCCTGTCCCTGGCACCCAGCCCCTCTCTGCTCCCAGAGCTCTGGCTCACGGGGAGGAGGGAGGTCCCTCCCAGGACCTCTAGAACAGGTTTGGCTGCCAGGTCAATCATTGACAGACCTCCCAAAGTGGCTTGGAGGTACCACGGGGAGTGAGAGGTGGGAGCCATGGCCTGCAGCAAAGGAGAAGGGGCTCTGGGCAGGGAGCACAGTCAGACCTGCATGTCTCAACCGGCCGAGGTATCATGCCGGCACAGGGACCGGCCTCTGCTGTCACCCAGGCTGTGAGCAACGGGAGGGCTTTGTCCTGCAGGAGACGGCCCCTGCCGATATTCTGGGCTGAGACTACTCAAATACTCAATGGCTTTGGCTGGTGGTTGCTCCTAGGGCAGAGCTTCTCCCACCGCAAGGGTCTCTTCCCTCCCAGTGAGCAAGGCTGTAGAGCACCACACTGAGCTGCTGCCCTTGGCTGCCTCCACAAATGCACCTTCTGCAGTCAACCGGGCCAGCAGAGAAATCCGCCCCCCCGGCCTATTTTGCAGCCAGCACCGGGGTGGCGCAAAGTGGGAGGGCTGTGCCTCAATGGCACCCCACCAAAGCCAGCCTTCAATGCCAGGCGTGAGGCAGGAGGCCACCCAGCAGCCCTCCTTGCTTGCCGAGGAGGTGTTGAGGGCAGAGGGGCACGTGGAGGCAGGAGGGAAGGGCCTCCTCACCGAGGGAAGCCAGCATGTCATGCAGATCCTCCTTGTCAATGAAGCCGTCGCGGTTCTGGTCGATCATGTTGAAGGCTTCCTTGAACTCCTGGATCTGTGACTGGTCGAACATGGCGAAGACGTTGGAGGTGGCGCGCTGGGGGCGCTTCTTGGTGGTCTTGGCTTTGGCACGTTTGCTGGACATCCTGGCAGCTAGGCTGGTACCTGAGGGCCGGGCAGAGCGTCAGGAGGGCTGGGGCCAGGCAGAGCCCGGGGGGGCCAGAGCAGAGGCAGGGGCACGCAGCTCCTAGCACCTCCAGCCCTGTGCCTCAGTTTCCCTGGCTGTCACACAGCTTGGCAACAGCGAGATAAGGCAGGGTCAGACCTGGGGACAGACGAGACTCTAATGAGTCTCCTGGGATGTCACAGGAGCAGGCAGCGCTCCCTGGCACCCCTTCCCCAGGGCTGTTCCCACGGCCTGGGCCCCCAAACCTGCGGGCCGCCTGTCCCCTTTGCATCCCAGGCACAGGGAGGGATGCCAAGCCCAGCACCCAGTGTGCCCCCACCACCATCAGTCCCAGGGCGGCCATGGGGCCGGGTGCCTTGTTATTTCGAGCAGAGCTTAGCTGTCCCCCCTGCCAGGCCTCCCCTCCTCCGCTGTCAGGGCTCTCCCCAGCCCAGCTCTCAGGGCGATGGGTCTCCCCAGCACCCTCCATTTCGCTGTGCAAAAGTGGTCCCCAGCCATATCCCCAGGAGGTGGGCTCCCCCAGCACCCAGCGGGAAGGGGTTATCTGCTCTGGGCACATTCCTCACATACCACCGCCTCCCTTCCCCCTCCGTCCTGCCTCCATCCATCCATCCATCCATCCCACCTCCGGCCACTGCCAGGTCCAGCCGGGCCAAAGGCCACTTGCCGCCTCCCTCCCCGCTGTGATGCCTGAGTGCACCCCACGCTCTGCCCAGGGAGCCCATGGGAAGGGCCCCGAAGTGGAGGGGAAAGAGGGGTAGTGGACCTCTGGGGGGCTGCTGAGCCGTTCTGGGGCAGGGGGAGGATGGCCAAGCAATGCTGGGGACCACGGAGCACTGAGGACTGGTGCTGTTGTTACAAGTAATGCATGCCAGGAGATGGGAACAGACCAGAGGGGCAAAGAGGGGGGCAGCAGTGGGATGGACAGACCTTTGGGGACATGGCTGGAGCAATGCGTGTCCCATGGGGAATGGCAAAGGGACCATGCGGACCCCAAACCCTACTGAGGCAGGGCCATGGCAGGAAAACCCGGTCTTTCAAAGGGTGGGTCCTGCCCCCAGCCCGTGCTGGTGAGTGCCCAGCAGAGCTGGGCTGGAGCAGAGCCCATTCCCACCCCGAGGTGGTACCCAAGCCCCTTCACCACCTCCGAGAAGGGATTTGGTGGTTCCTCCCCCACCGCCAGGCTGAGGGACGCAGTCAGTATTTGAGACGCCCTGAGTCATGGCTGCTGGGGACCCAAACGGGATGCATATGGGGTGCTCGGCACTCCCAGCGACCACCAGTGTTGCCTGAGAGGAGGATGCTCAGACCTATCCTGGTCGAATCCTGCCAAGCATAACTCAGCAAGATGCCAGCAAAGACCAGCCTGGCAGAGGGACGGTGCCAGCCGCCAGCTCAGCACCATCCTGTGAGAAAGTCTGGGGTGAGGTCAGCCCAAGGGAGAGGCGCTGCTCAGAGCCCTTGTGTGGCTACCGCAGCCATTTCTCCCTTACAGGCAGCAACGTGCCTCTGTTTCCCCATCCGGGTCAGTGTCTGGCATGGGAAGCAGCTGCAGGGGCAACATTAAATTACTGGATTATGAATGAATTCCATGGGGAAAGAGCAGAGCATTACTGCTCTGCCTGGCTGTGTGCCCGCTGCCTCAGTGGGCAGCGGGGTGCCTGGGTCCCTGCCTTCTCTGGCAGGGGACACGGAGCAGTTAAGGAGCCACATCGTGCTGCATGAAGCAGCGCAGAGCGACACCACCAGCAAGGTGCATGCCAGCAACCGTGCCCCTGGCCTGGCCACCCTGGGCCTGCTGCTCCAGGATCTGCTTCCCAGATGGGTCCTTAGCACTGACACACCCAGGGGCACTGCAGGGCCTTGGGGACCATCCCTCGGGACCCCAGCATTGGCACAGGCTGGGACAGAGCAACAGCCTTCCCCTGCGCCCACACAGCTCTGGCCAGCCCTCCCCGGACCCTACCTGCTTTCCAGCTCCTTCCCTCCCCTCCTTCAAGGGGCTGCAGAGGTGGGGGCTGGAGCGGCCACCAGCCTGGTCCCCACCCTGCTGTGGTCCCCAGGCTCCCCTAGCTGGGCTGCGCTGGAAGGACAAGCATTGGTCAAGCATTGGAACAGGCTGCCCAGAGAGGTGGTGCAGTCACCATCCCTGGGGGGCATTCAAAAAACCTGTAGGCGTGGCACTTGGGGACATGGTTTAGTAGGCACAGGGGTGTTGGGTTGATGGTTGGGCTTGATGATCTTGAACGTCTTTTCCAGCCTTTCTGTGATTCTGTGACATTCCACAGGCCGCGGTAAGTGCCAATCCCAGCTACAGTGTCAGCCCCGGCAGGGCTACCCAGCCCTGCAGTGCCCAGTCAAGCTCAGAGGGGGCTGGGGGCGCTCCCCAGGGGCTGCAGGCACTGGGATGGCAACCGCGCTGCCCTCAGCCCCCTCCCTTGCGCAGCCCCAAGTGGCCCTGGCTGGCACCCAGCAATGAACAGCAGCCAGCAAGTCACCCCGCTGTCCCCCAAATGCTTGGTCCTTCCCCAGTACCCCCAGGAAAGAGGCATTTGCCACCAGCCAGCTGAGCAGAGCAGCAGGACTGGAGAGCCCCACCATGGGCATGGAGGTCTCGCCCCCCGCAGCCCATCTCCTGCCCGCTGCACCCAAGTGGCCCTGGCTGGCACCCAGCAATGAACAGCAGCCAGCAAGTCACCCCGCTGTCCCCCAAATGCTTGGTCCTTCCCCAGTACCCCCAGGAAAGAGGCATTTGCCACCAGCCAGCTGAGCAGAGCAGCAGGACTGGAGAGCCCCACCATGGGCATGGAGGTCTCGCCCCCCGCAGCCCATCTCCTGCCCGCTGCATCCGCCAGCGCCACTGCACCATGAAGCTCTTTGCAAGGGGACAGCCTCTTTCAGCGTGCCCTGCCAGACACCAGCCTCTGCTGCCAGCCCGTAACCACCCCAGGCCCACAACCAAGCAGGCAGTGGTGTGGGGAAGCTCAGCCGAACACCACAACTTCACTGTGCTGGGCCAGAGCCAGCAACAAAAGCTCTGCCACTGGCCCACGGCACTGGGCTCAGCTTTCAAAACATGCCAGATTATGAGCAGAATTATTAGCAGAGGTCTAGAGAAATAAGCAGGAGTTTTGCTCTCACCACATGAATTAATATTATCCAAATATTTACCCTGTCCCAGCTGTGACCAGCAGCAGAAGCACAGCTTGGCACCCTCTCCAGAGACATGGTTCTCGCTAGGGGGATTAAGTGCGATTCTGACAGCACATGGTTTTGCTGTTTGATTCAAAATATGCCCTAGAAAGGTTCTTGGTCCCAAGGTCCAGCTCAGCCTCGTGATCTCCTAGTCGTTCTGTTTCGGCTGAACCCCAGCAGACCTCCTTGGGCTGGCTGGGCCTTGGGAAGAGACTTTTTTGGGTCAGTGCGGGGAAAGGTGCCTCTTGCATGAGGCAGAAGTGATTGGCAGCGAGGCCTGATTCGACAGGGGTGATCTGCGCTCCGCACAAGGGCTCGACGGCCACGCTCCCCTGGTCTTTGAGCCCCAAAGCCCAATGCCCACACCGTTTCAAGGAATGCCTGGCCACAGTGCCCAGCACGCTCGGGTGGACTTGACTGAGCCAATGGGTGCAGCCACCAAACCTGGCTTCCTCCTTGGCAAGAAGGAAACCCCCCGCTGAAAGCTCCATCCCAGCACTGCTCCAGCCCAGGAGCTGCTGGTGCCAGGCAGAAGAGATCAGTGCTGGGGTGAGTTCCCAGCCAGCCCGGCAGGAAAGCCATGCGCCGATCCGATCACCGCACTCACCCCTCGACTTCTGCCACAGCTCCTGCCAAGAGGATCTCCCTGCCTCCTCCCCACCCGAGAGTCAGGCCCAAGGGGCCACAGGGCTGGCTTAAAAAATTCCTAAGTTAGCAAAGAAAAGTTTAAAGAGCAAAGACCCACGGTTATCAGCAAAAATAAACCACCATGTGTTTCCTCCTTGGTAAAAACAGAACAAGCAACTCCATCCTGGTGCTGCTTCCTGACCGGGCTGGGGAGGGTGGGATGAGCCAAATGGACACAGCAGTGCTGCCAGGGCAGGGGGGCCCCATCCCCTCCCTGTCCTCCTCCCTCCTGCCTGCTTCCACCCCTCCCTACGCTGCATCTGTGCTGCTCCAGCTCACCATCCAGCTGAAAAATAAAACAGTGGGGAGCTGCTGCCGGGCCAGCGGCTGAGCAGGCTTGTGGCAGGGCTGGCTGGCATGATGGAGGGGTGTCCGGGTGGGGAGGGGATGGGGCAGCTCCCCTTGCAGTGGCAGCAGCCCGTCCCCAGGCCCCGGGGTGTTCCCATGTATTCAGAAGCTACGATCATCCAGGATACACTGCCAAGGGTTTCCCAAGGGTGGCTACCCCAAAGCTGGCCATGCAACTGCAGGGGCCACCTCTGAAAGCATTGACAGGCTCCGGCACCACGTGGGGCTGCCCTGCAGTCTCCAGCATGGCTGGAGAGGGACATCATCTCCTGCTCGCAGTGAGCTGCTCTCCACCACGAGATGCCAGCAGCGAGATGCGTGATGTGCATCTGCTGGATGCTGTCAGCCAGGTAGGGACAGAGGGATTCAAACACCCCAGAGGACACCCCTGCAGGGTGAACGATGGCCGCTTGGAGGGACTGTGGTTAAATCTCTGCCTGATGGCTCTTCCCCAAATCAGTTGCTAGTACCATCGAGCCACAGCACAGCTGCGTTTACTAATGGGGCAAGCACCGGCCCTCCACAACGCACGGGCAGCCATACCTCAACACATTATGGCACCACAGGGGGCGTAGTCCAGCACGAGGGCCAGCGGGGGCGATGCTCTGCAGCATCCCACGCTGGCACAGGGCACTGCAGGGCATCCTACCACCCATAAAGCTTTGCCGTCTGCAGGCACCTCTCCCAGCACCAGGACTGTCCAGGAGTGGACACCTCGCCTCCAGAGCCAGTAGGAGCCATGGACCAGGTTGTTGTATGCTGGAGGAGCAAGCAGGGAGCACCCCATCTTCCCTGCCTAATTAGTTGTTAAACTGTCCCCTTCCTCCAGCACAGCCCTGCTGAGGATGCCCTTGGGATGTGGCTCAGCTCAGTGTCCCCTGCCGAGGGGTGATGGTGCCAGGGGAGCTGCGCTGCTGGGCAGAGGCACCGGGAGCTGCAGGAGGCGCCCCTGTCCCACTCGGCACTGCAGGAACGCAGGCGGGCTGCCGTTCCGCTCCTTTTTTGGCCTTGTTATAGACAGATGTGGTAAAGGGAGTTTGAAGGTGAAAGCAGAAGGCGAGCCCTGGGCTGTGTCCCCGGACCAGCCACAGCCATCAGCACTGCAGCTGGCGAGCAGGTTTCATGTGCAGACGGGAAGGAGCAAGGGCAGTATCAGGGAGCAATGCAGCGACCCTCGGGAGGGAGAGTTCACCCCAGCCCTCCCCTGGCTCCCACTGCACACTGCGGACCCGGCCAGGCCCACGCAGAGCTGTGGGGCTCGGCTGCAAGTTTGGCAGAGGGTTTCTGGGCAAGCTCCTGCCCACCAAGGGGAACCTCACCCTGCCCCACATGGCACACGCAACCCCTTCCAAAGCACAAGTCCTGGGGCCACTGTGAGAAGACCATGCACAGACATCATTGCCACGCAAAAGACCCAACACCCTTCTGATGCTCAGGAATGCGGGGAAACTGGACCATGGGGCAGAAGGTCTTCATGGCCTCGGGCCACCAGGATAACATGCCCTGACTGGGTTTGATATTTTCCCAGGAGAATTAAGGGGCTCACCTCAGCGGGGGAATCTGGCCGCAGCGCCTCAGAGGGGGAGGTGACCACAAACTCCTCCTACAGCCGCTGAGAGCCTGCCAGTGACGAGGGGAAAAAGATTCAAGAAACCCAACCATCTTTGGTCAGCGGTGGTGGTTGTTGACACTTGGGGATGTTCCACTCCAAAGAATGCTGCTTCGGCCGCCGCCTTCTCCTACACATCCATGTTTTAGAGCCTCCCTGGCTTTTATCCAGCCATAGCATTTTTGTAGGAAAAGGGCACACAAGGAGGGAAGCCAAGAGGGCCTCAAGTTTTCACAGGCAAGGCTAAACAAAAGACAACATCCCTCTGCGTTTCAGAGTGAGGGAAATGAGCTGAAAAAAGCTTTTCTTGCCTTACAAGATCTTATTGCCTGAAGTTGCTTACAGGTCGCTGGGAGGTCTCTGGAGCATCACGCATGCATATGAGTCTCGGCTCTGGCCATCGGCAAACAGACTAGGCGGGAAAGTGGCTGTCCTGGCAGGACCCACATGGCACACGCAACCCCTTCCAAAGCACAAGTCCTGGGGCCACTGTGAGAAGACCATGCACAGACATCATTGCCACGCAAAAGACCCAACACCCTTCTGATGCTCAGGAATGCGGGGAAACTGGACCATGGGGCAGAAGGTCTTCATGGCCTCGGGCCACCAGGATAACATGCCCTGACTGGGTTTGATATTTTCCCAGGAGAATTAAGGGGCTCACCTCAGCGGGGGAATCTGGCCGCAGCGCCTCAGAGGGGGAGGTGACCACAAACTCCTCCTACAGCCGCTGAGAGCCTGCCAGTGACGAGAGGAAAAAGATTCAAGAAACCCAACCATCTTTGGTCAGCGGTGGTGGTTGTTGACACTTGGGGATGTTCCACTCCAAAGAATGCTGCTTCGGCCGCCGCCTTCTCCTACACATCCATGTTTTAGAGCCTCCCTGGCTTTTATCCAGCCATAGCATTTTTGTAGGAAAAGGGCACACAAGGAGGGAAGCCAAGAGGGCCTCAAGTTTTCACAGGCAAGGCTAAACAAAAGACAACATCCCTCTGCGTTTCAGAGTGAGGGAAATGAGCTGAATAAAGCTTTTCTTGCCTTACAAGATCTTATTGCCTGAAGTTGCTTACAGGTCGCTGGGAGGTCTCTGGAGCATCACGCATGCATATGAGTCTCGGCTCTGGCCATCGGCAAACAGACTAGGCGGGAAAGTGGCTGTCCTGGCAGGAGCGGCTCTCGCCGACCGGGTGGCGGGTGAAGCCCCGGG